TCCGTACTCCAAATAAAACCTGCAGTGAGTATCGTTTACTTAGAAGTCATGTAAAAGATGAATAATAAATATATCTAAATGTCGACGGTAAAGTCAAGCGTTGAACCTACGCAATAAGTAGAGTACCTAAGATTTGTATCTTAGTTGAATCACACGCAATCAAATCAAACCCACGGCACGAGGAATTATACAGGTTCTCAGCCCTCTCAAGTTCGATAACAGCCAATGACATGTGTTTTCTTTATGAATGGGTATTCCTCAAGTATTTGGGAAGAACTCGTGATGGCTTCTCGTCTGTGGAGGGGAGGAAGATCTCACTATAAGGGGCCGGCTACACTGATGCAAGCTTTCAAACCGACAAAGAAGACTAGTGTTCGCAATCTGGATATGTATTACATATGAAGGGAGGGGCAGTGAGTTAAACCACTATTTTCATCAAGCCCCTGCAAGGGAACTTGAACAACATCGACATTCAGCAGCCCCATTTAGTCATTTAATTCCAAAAAATATCCTTGATGCAGCTCTTGATCAATCAGAGGCTGAGGCAAGGGAGGCCTGGCCTAGTGGCCCCAATTAGGATCATCTTCGATAGGATGTTTGGGTTCAACAATTGGATTGACATTTGGGGCTGCCTGAGGAGCATGATTAGGAAAGGGCCTCACCAAGTGAGCATTATGATAGGGAAGGAAGTGCTCAATATCTGGCAGTTAATGGATGAGGGTTTTCATTAGGTGGATATTGGTCTTCATCCGGAGGTCCCCCACGTAGCATGGTCTGATGAAGAATCTCCACATGAACAGCTGATACCGCACTGACATATTTGTCATGTAGTTCACTGTATTATCTGATTCAACTAAATTACAAATCTTACGTACTATATTTATTGCGTAAGTTCACCGGGCCACGTTACCATCGACACATAGCATTAGATATATGTATTATTCATAGATTTTTTTGTATCATTTATAAATAGATACTCACTGTAGATTTTATTTGGAGTACATATACCCCCTCCAGATTTTATACAGATTTTATTTGGAGTACGGATGTTTGGAAAAATCTAACATCCTTAACCGAATAAATGAACAATTTGCTCATTGCCCTTTCGCTTGGCAGGCCCGCCGCAGAGGCACCGGCGGGTCGGAGAGCGCGCCGTCCACGATTTGGTCGAAGATGAACTTGTAAGCCGCCTCCGTCAAGTGCACGCCATCCCAGCTCACGCTCCTGGACGGGTCCTCGCATGACTTCCCCTCCATGACCGTGCCATTCACCTCCACCTTAACGCCGCATCCGATGTCCTTGTCGAAGTTGTACTCACCGCCGCCGTACCCGCAGCACACGCGTAGAGGGTCCCCAAAACCGATCTTCTTGGCTTCGCTCATCAGCCGGTACATGGCGGTGTACACGTCGACGTAGGTGAAGGCGGCCTCGGGGAGAGCCACCCTTAGCCTCGCCACAGTCTCCTTGAGCCGCGTGTTGAAGAACCGGGGGCCGGCGTTGAGCGCAACGGAGCAGCCGGCGCTGTCCTTCTCCGTGGCGAGGTCCGGGCGGTACGCCAGGGCGTACGACAGGCACCCGAGCGTCCCTGTGTTGTGCACCCAGAAGTACCTCCCACCGAGGTCGTACACCGTTTGGATCGCCGACGCGAGCCTCTCCATCAGGTCGGGGACGTAGGCCTCGACTTGCTCCGTGGTCATGTTGTCTAGGTAGCCCATGGCGAGGTCGTTGGCGCCGATGTCGAAGGTGTAAAGCGCCTTGGAGACCAAGTGCTCGGGTTTCGGCAGGATTTCTCGGTAGACTCCACCTGCGGAGGATAGGTCGAAGATCCTCCGGTAAAAAAATTGTTGAAAATATATCGATTTTTGCATGGTGAAGTTTCATTTTCACCTATGTTGTTGTAGACAAACTGGCTCCTATTGATGAACTGCTGGAACTGCCAGATCTGCACGTCCAGGGAAATGGGGCTGTACCCGGAGGTCCACAAGCTCCCGTTCACTCGTCTGATGGTTCCAGCGGCGCTCGCGAAATTGGCTCCCTGCGTGAAGTTGCTTCCCAGTGAATCCAGATACGCATTCAGGTAACGCAGCCCCAGGCTTTGAGCTGCAAGTCCGGAAACAAAACAAAACAAAAACCTTCAGTTGAGCTATTTGTTCAGAAAAAAATATCTAAACTTAATCCTAGTTACGCCCGAGATGTTGTAGATAGATGTGAGTACCCATGAAATCGATAGTGAGGCGGCCGTCGCTCTGCCTCCCGGCCGGCATGCCGAAGAAGGTCCGGCCGTAGGGTGGCTGCACGGCCGGGAAGAGGGCTGGGAAGGCTCCGGTGTCCGAGTAGGAGTCGCCGAAGTTGAAGATCGCCGGGAAGTCACACGGAGAATCATCAGAACGCACCCTCTGTAGAACCACCAGCATCACGACGAACATGATGAGTTTGTTGGTGGCCATGGTGGTGCAACGGCGAGCTGAAGCCATTTCCCGCCGCTCGATCGGTGGTCGTGACGGTGAAGCGGCTGGGAGAGGATTTATACACGCCGGCAAGGTTGTGAGAGTCCAGCACCCGTCTTGGACTGGTGCTCCGACGTGATCCTAAAGAGATGGGAATAGCCACGTTATGTTTGACAAGTAACCTCCCCACCTGATGTTGATGCACCACCCTCCAGAGAGTGACGGGTCATCACCGTTTGCGTGGCACGTTAGGACAAGCAACTAGGCGTGCTTGACCCTTGGCTGCTCTCTTGTACAGTATTTGACGCTTAATTCCATGATGATGGTGTGGCCAAAACTGTTATTACTACTTTTGTCTACGAAATTGCGCAGAACACAGAAAAAAAGGGAGTGCCGATGCTGGATGCGGATTTTTGGCTCTCGGGGGACACGTACCCCCTATATCCGGACGATGATGCGGCGCGCCTGGTGTCCCTTGGCAGCAGGGCGGTGTTTCTCCTTGTGGTCGACCCGAGCATGCCGATAATCCAGCTCGTGCGCGACCTCATCGAATGCGAGGATTTTAAATACAAGATCCAGGTGTTTACTGATAAGGACTCACTACTCCGTCCAATCTCTCGCTTGAATTAGTCACATATACAGGTTACAAAGTGTTGGGGAAGAACAAGTTCCAGTTAAGTCTGATCTCTACCAGGATAGGTTTTTTTAGGGGAAGGATAGCTTCTTCCTTGTGTTCTCTCTTGTATATGTAGTTGTGTGTCGTCGGGAGCTGGTGGTGGACTGGGCCTTGATCTGTCGTTTGCCCGCACAGCAGACGGTCGCTAACATCCCTCTCTTCTTGAAATATGCCAAAATCGCCATGGTAGCTGTTACAATAGTAACCATCATTGAGGTCGACTTGAACAAGATCAAAGGGGAAGGCATCCTCGGTGTCGTAGTCGTGACGTCGGGGACTTGCTCGAGGAAGGTGTCGAAGTAGTGGTGGTGGGCGACATAGACTTCATCGGAGTAATAGTAGGCTTAGTCGAAGCAGCAACAACGTCTGTGGAAAAAGTTCATCATTTCTTGGCTGTGAGCAACTTCTAGCACTTACCCGTAAAATAGAACTTCTAACACTCCTTCCTCCGTGAAACTCTCTTTGCCCCTAAGCTGAATCTTTGAGGGAGATCGAAGGCTATCTCTCGGGATCCCATGGATTGTGAAGTTCCTTGATCTTGTTTGGGTCAGCGTGGAAGTCTTCCTAGCTAGTGATGGCCGAGGTTAATGTAGTGACTGTAGTCTTGGTCATGGTAGTGATCTTCATCAAAGTAGTAGCCGCAACCGAGATGAACATGGTTAGGAAAGGCCGCACGAAACATAGCTTTGTCAAAGGAGTAGAGGCAACCGAGATGGACAAAGAGTGTTAATTTCAGTCGAGACAGATTGCTCTCTCATCCCTCAATCGTATCAGACAAAGATCAATTCTATAAATATAAGAAAACTAGGAGAAAATGTGTTCCTGCACCACTGAGAAGATTTGCTCCGCCAAAGTCCACACGGTCTAGCATCAGCACGACGCCGAGCTACCAAATGTTGCTCGACCGAAGCAGCTGGGAAGCATCATCGCCCAGGATGATGACACCTATGTCGTGAGCCAGGATCTCGCCGTGATGAGAAGTTGAGACCGAAGGGGTGACACATCGTTTCAAGGGAGAAATGAGGGCTCCATTGTATATCTCCAGCCAAAGTAAAGTGCCCATGACCATACCGGCACACGACATAACTCTCGTTACCGAACAACCAAACTTAAGCCAACACACATATCAGAACAAGGAATAGTTACGGGAGTGGGAGGCAACGGGATAAGCTCCTCAAGATACTTTAAATTAGACATGTGTTTTTCCCAAAAAAAAATATATTTGGACATGTGTTTCATGTCCATGATTACTACTTAGGACCAAAGGGCTCCTTTGATTTAAAGGATTTTTTATAAAAATTTTAGAGGATGAGAATCCTTAGATTTTTTTTTTCTTATATCGACTGTTTGATTCATATAATTGAACCCAATAAGATTTTTCCAAGGATTATTTTGTACAACATTCAATAACAAAAATGCCCTGCAAAAAAACATTCAATGAAAAATTAGTATCCTCTCAAACCTTTTAGAAAGAATCTTTGCTTTTCGTGCGATGGAGTCAACCAAACAAAAATCTTATAGGACTGAGATAAATATGGCATGCCAATCCTATATTTTTTTCCACCCTAAAATAAATCCTACATATTTTTTCTGTTTCCATTTTCACGTTTTTAGGATCCCGCGAATCAAAAGGCCGTAGAAGAGCAAGAAATATCTTCAATAGAAAGGTTTCCCAAACGTCCTACGGAGGCCACGGAGAAGAGATTTCGTTCTCCATCTGGGAAAACCGCAGAGAACTCGACGGGAGCTGGATTTGGGAGGACGGAGCGGGTGAATGGCCAAGGTGAATGCCTCCCACGCATTTCTCTCTCGGACGAAATCCCGGTCCAGTTTATCTTCCAGCAAACGCCGCCGCGATTCACCGCGCGCGGAGTTGAATGGGGTTCCGTGGGTTGCCCGCTTAGGAGGGTGCCGGTGACCTGAAGTGGAGGTGGAAGTGGCAGCCGCGGAGCTCGCCGCTGGCCGTGGGGGCCAGCGGCGGCGGCGACGGCCGGGGTGTTTAGGGTTTGGGGACAACTGAGTGTAGCGCGCGCGCGCTCGCATTCGAAGCGATTTTGCAGATGGTATCGCGAGAATGCTGGTTGCCATGGTCTGATCCAAGATTATCTTGGTTTTCTATAACTGAACATTTTGGTGCCCTGTATCAAATTTTCGATCTGAAACTTCTGAAACTGAAGTATCGGCCATACATGCTTTTCTGCCTCATTCACTGTCATATATGGCCATCTCTATTACTGGTCAGTAACTTTGCGTTTCGCTGGGAGCTATCTGCTGAAGGCTGGTGCGGAGAGGGACGCGGCGGCGGAGAGCTGTGCCAGAAAGAAGGCAAAGGTCGAGTCCGAGGCCAGGGCTGCGGAAACGAAGATCGCCGTCAACTTAGACCACAAGTTGCTGGAGTGCTCTGCTTGCTGCAGCCCATTGGCTCCACCCCTGTTCCAGGTACCCAACAGGAGAACAGGACCTGTAGTCGACGAACTAGTATTCCCTTGTTGAATGCTTCCTCCATTTTACTAGATTCAGTTATACCCTGCAATTTAGTTCCGTGTTGCATGTTATGGTTTTTTAAGACATTCACCTGGTCTGGATTTCACCAAGTATCGCCATTAATCGACCTTTTATTTTTTGATGTAATTGCTACTGATAGGTCACTTGTAGCAAATCTTGCATCAGTTATGATGTTTTGGTCAGTATGCTGCTCATAGAATTCTGTTTTTCTCCTTTCTGATTTTAGTAGAACTGGTTGAATGTTACTAGGAAATTTAATAAAAATAAGATGTGGACGTATTGTTGGTTACAACTCATTATCTTGCATCAATTGTAATGTTTTTGTGAGTATGCTGCTCATAGAATTCTGTTTTTCTTCTTTCTGCATTTAGTAGAACTGGTTGAATGTTACTAGGAAATTTGATAAAATCAAGATGTGGACGTATTGTTCATTACAACTCATTTCAGTGTGTCTTTGACGTTCTCTAGTCCTTTTGGGTAAGATCCCTTTCAGAGCAATCTGCAGACATATATTTTCTCCCAGGGCTTGCCAATTGCCATGGTGAAGAGTGTATGATGCATTGCCAATCTTGGCCTATGAAGTATCAACTCTCTGGATTACAACTGTTACTAGCATAAGCCATATACAAGTGTAGTAGCTGAGTATGAGCCAAAGTTTAGAAAGGCCATTATCAAGCTTGAACATTACATGCGTGAAGACGCTATGTGTTGCATCACAATCGTAGAATTACTGTAGATATTATGGCACAAAACTGGCACAGCAGTGGTAATCCAGTGTTGTGTCATGCTTGTGCACTTGTCCTGTTTTTGACAGTTTCAGTAAAACCTGTATGTTTCTGTTTCTCTGTTTTTGTTTGCAGTGCACAAATGGCCACATCACATGCTCAGAGTGCCGCACCAATGCGGAGTACAGTTGCAGCTTGTGTGCCGAGCCGGCCAACACCCGCTGCGACATCATGGAGCGCGTACTTGGCGGCATGACAGCGCCGTGCTCGTTCCGGGAGTTTGGCTGCTCCGCGACGATCCCGTTCACGAAGAAGCTGACCCATGAAGAGTCATGCGTCCATGCCCCGTGCCACTGCCCCATCCCCTACTGCCGCCTCTACGCCAACCGTGGCCGGTCCCTGTGCGAGCACATCGAGACGAAGCACTGCTTGGTCCCATACGGCGATGCCAGAGCCGGCAGCCTTTCCCCTGTGAGGGTGTGCGACAGTGAGCCGGTGCGCCTGGTGTTCCTGGACGCCAGGGCGGTGTTCCTGCTGGTGGTCGAGCGGAGCGGGCCATCGGGGCGTGCCGTGTCGGTGGTCCAGCTCGTCAGCGAGCCGGTCAAGGCGGCGGAGGAGAAGGATTTCAAGTACAAGATCCAGGTGCATACGCGAGCAGGCGTCCTCTCTCTGTCCGGCGAGACGCAGAGCGTCGGGCGGCTGATGAGGCCTTACCAGGCAACCGCGTCGCTGTTTGTCTCGGACGCCGTGTGGTCTCCCCTGGATTCTCCCGTGTACCTCGAGTTTAAATGAATCTGGATAAGCTGTATGCCGTTCAGTTGGCAAACCAATCCCATCTGGTAGGAGAATTCAGAGACTCCATTCTGTTTGTGCTCTTCTCAGCTGTGCCCTTCTGGTTGCTGGCACTATCTTATCTCTGTTGTCTTTCGAAGTTTGGTGATAGGATCACAATTTATGGTTTAATTAAGTTGAAGACATTTGTATGGCCAAGCACATTCAGATGTTCTGTTTGTGCTCTTGTCAGCTTTTGAACCTGAACAGTGAGTTGGTTGTACAAAATGGGTAGTGTCACTGAAGAAGAATGTAGGCAGCTGTTCTGAATTTACTCAAAAAGTAGTCCTTTTTAAGCATTTATTTTGTTTTTTGTTTTTTGCCGAGACCTTCAGGATACTACTTTCATGTTATAGTGAAAGCTAATCCTTGGACAGTTTGTTAGGTGTTTGGTTCCATGTGCACTTCTTTTTATCCGACAGTGTGTTTGCGGTTTTTCTCTATATGCAACTATGCATGCATGTATTTATCGTTGAGCTTTTGAGCCCAAACTTTATTGGTTAATTCTTGTGAGTTGAGTTGGTTCTACAAATACAAAATGCGGAATGTAGACAACTGTCCTGAATTTACTCAACACTCGGAACATCACATTGCAGCTAGGAGCTGCTGGCACTATTTCAGACCCTCAAATTCGGTACGACTGTTCGGTAATCTCTACAATCTTGTTAGCATCATCTGGTTGAACGATTTCTTCTTAGCATCATCTGGATGCCCATCTGATGTTTCTGCCCCATCGATCGCGCCCAAAAAAATAAATAATTTTTTTACTCCGACAAGAAGAGCAAAAAAAAAAAGCTCCAATTTGAGAAGCAGAGAACCTCTCTGCTTCAAACATCAGATCGGCATTCAAAGATCATCTGAACACGTCCAACATCCAAACAGCAACATCGCTATTTCTTGGAAAATTACATGTCAGTGCCGTTCCAATTGCAAAGCCAACATCGTCAGGAGACTACAATCCAGCATCTGACTACAGAGGAAAACACACGAAGAAGGCGAGGAGCAGAGCCTATCTAGGAGGAGCTGAACTTGGTGACGGCCTTGGTGCCCTCGGAGAACGGCATGCTTGGCGAGCTCGCCGGGGAGCACAAGGCGGACGGAGGTCTGGATCTCCCTGGAGGTGATGGTGGGCTTCTTGCTGTACAGGGCGAGCTTGGCGGACTCGGCGGCGAGCTTCTCGAAGATGTCGTTGGTGAAGGAGTTCATGATGGGCATGGCCTTGGAGGAGGTGCCCATCTCCGGGTGCACCTGCTTCAGCACCTTGAACAGGTACATCCTAAGTTACCCGGATACTTCTGAATACTGCCGTATCAGGCGTATTGGATACTCGGATAAATATAGATACTTCTCAAAAGTCAAAATGTATCCCCTTATTTTCTGTTTTTCAAATAAATAAATAAAATCGGATACTTTGGGGATACCTGTGGGATACCTCGTGGACACAGGAAAATCCTATCTATCCATACCCACAACAGCCACCTCCCTTTTCATGCCTCATTCTGTTCCATCCCAAGTGCCCAAATGTGACCGAGCCTACTCTTCGGCAGCTTCCAATTGAAGTTGCAGCAGTTGAAGACAACTCAGATCATACTTATGGTACATTTTTCATGTTTCTATCACCTTGTTCATATTTTTAAACTTTTATATTTTCATATAATCATTATATCCTATATATTTTATATTTATTTAAGCAGAAAGGCCCATGCGTTGCAACGGAAAAAAAATCATAATCTCCAATTTCCATGACCACATTTTCCTGCATCACCGAGATACACTATCACAATTTTTAAAACCATGAATTTTCTAAACTCGTTAACGTATTTGAAATCATAAACATTTTTCAAATTCATGAACACCTTTATAAATTTTTGAACATTTTATAAAATGAAGAGCATTTTTGAATTCATGAACATCTATATTATTTTATCCGCAAAAAAACTTTTATATTTTTTGCAAACATTTTTTAAACAACTTTCTTGAACCCACAAACATTTCTAGAATCGGCGAATATATTTTTGGAAATTGGTGGAACAATTTTTGGAACTCATGTACATTTTTTTGATTTAACGAATATTTTTTGAAATGCATGATCATTTTTGGAATCAGCGAGCATTTTATGTATGAATAAACTAAGTCACGAATAGTTTTTGAATTTTTAGGATATCTTTCCATTCATGAACATTTTTTGAATTGGTGAAATTTTGTTCAATTTATTAACAATTTTGATACATTAACTTTTTACAAAATCACGATTTTTCATATTTCCTAAACATTTGTTGTCAAAATGTCAAACATTTTCTGAATAACCAACATTTTTACAAAAAACATGAACATTTTTTTGAATCCATAATTTATGATTTATTTTAAAAAAAATCAAAATTCTTATATATTGCACTCCCAAATTATTTAATGTAGAAAAAAACCAAAAAAAACAATTTGAAAAACAGGCCGCCCGAACATGGGCCGGCCCAAACAGGCACGCTGCGTCTTCTCCTAGCAGAGCACTGTATGGGCTGGCCCAGGCGGAGGATTCCACTGTGTAAAATATTTTTGATCACTTATATGTGGCATTGGTGGGTAATATTTTAAAACTTGGGGAGCAATTTCTGCGACTTACCGCTAGAAGCAATATCCTCTTTATTATTAGGTGTAGATATATACAAACGTATTCCCCTATCTGTACTTTTGAAAATTTGACGTATCCCCATATCATAGTGTCCGTATCCATATCCGTATCGCCGTATCCATGCAACTTACGGTAGATCTTGTACTCTCAACGCTCTTCTTGTTCGTCTTTCTCCCCTCCTTGGACTTCGCCGGCCGCTTCTTCTCCGCGGCGGGCTGCTTCGCCGCCACCGGCTTCTTCTCTGCTTTGGAGGCCATGGATGCCGCTGCGGTTGCTGCTGCTTGCCAGATGGAGGGAGGTGTTGTTTCGCTTGAAGAGATGCGTGTAATTGCAGAGCGGATGTGATGGGAAAAAGGGGGCAACGAGATTATATAGGAGGAAGGAGGTCAGCTTCAATTGGTGGATGATTGATTCCTCAGATAAGTGACGTGGCCAAAATTTGCCCTATTTGGGTAGTAAGGCATCTTCAATGAAAGATGCCTAGATAGGAGCTTAGGGAAATAAAACAAATCTCATAAAAGCAAAAACCCATCTGAGCACTTATTGTTACATCGCTGAGTGCTAATTACAGGGGCGCCTAGGGGACCGGCCGTTTCACGCAGCGCTCCATCTCGTACAAGAAAATAGCACAAGCACTCGACTCCTTTTCTTGGGTCGGTGTCGCACCTGTCGCCAGGATTGGATGGCCCAACTGCACCATCGAAGAGGAATTGAATCCTGGCACCATGCTAGGCCCAACATTGTATATGCCCTAAGCGCATTTACAATGACGGGCGCTAGGCCCAGACACCAGGATTAATATCGTGCTGAATTGGCAGTTAGACTAACTAATCGTAGCGTCTTATAAAGAGATTCTTATAGAGTCGGTAACCAAGGTAATGCCCTCTTATGCTATGTTAGTGTTTAAATTACCAAAGGAAAATTTGCAAGTCTATTACCAATGAAATTTTGGGGTTTCGGTGGGGAGATAATGAAGAGCAGAATAAGATGCATTGGTTCGCGTGATGGAAATTGTGTATTCCAAAGAAGAAAAGGTGGACTAGGGTTTATGGACCTTCATAGTTTTAATTTTGCTAGGAAAACAGTGTTGGCGACTGATCTAAAATTCAGACTCTTTGTGTGCACAAGTCCTGTGATCTACATACTATCAAGATGGAAATATTCTTAAAGTTGGACCTAAGAAAGGCTCGTCTTACACTTGACAGAGTATCGTAGCGGGTATACAAACTTTTTAGCAAGGGTGCATATAGAGGGTTGGCTCCAGATAAATATATGGCAAGACCCATGGATTCCTACAAGTGCATCATGGAGAGATATTACGCCTAGGGGGTGGAACTATGTTGTCTAAGGCTGGTCATAGTGGTGGTATCTTTGCTAGTATCATGCACTCGAGACTAGCAAACACGCTGATGCGGCGGACAATTAAAGAAGACAGATGGTTAGACTAACATAGGTAGATACCGAGCTTGGTTCCCGGTTGACAAGGCTAGATGGGCAGGGTAGTAAGCATATTAATCATGTTTGTTAAGATATATGCCGGTTACAGGTGCCTAGGAAAGTCAAACACTTTGCTTGGAAGGCGCTACATGGAGTCCTACCCTACCGTGGAGCTTTGGCAGCCCACATACCTTATTCACCACAATGCCCATGATGTTTGGTGGGTGCCGAAGACTTGCAGCACTATCTCTTCAAATGTCGTTGTGTGAAAGAAGTGTGGTCTCAGCTAAAATTTCTAAATGCCATTCAAAGAGCAACTGATGTGGACATGCCAGGCTTAGTCACTATAGAGATCTTATCAAAGCTTGATGTTATTTCAGATGGACTATCTATAGCTGAACTGGCTGTTGTGGCAGCGTGGTACCTTTGGTGGCAACAACGACAACTTGTGAAAGGAATCGTGATTCAAAATCCAGAGAAAACAACATTGTCTATTCACGACTAGCTACAAATTACATCAAATCGATGTCTCCAAAGCTCCTGACTCGGAAGAACATATGCGGCAAAAACCATCTCATGGACTAGTCAAGGTTAATGTAGATGCATCATTTCATGTGGATACTTTACTCGAGGTTGTGGTGCTATCATGCATGATGAACGGGGTGACTTTCTAGCAGCAGTGACTTTCCACATATCCGAGATGTTGATTCAGCGGAGCTCATTGCAATTAGAAATGGAATATACTCATTGGCAAATTTGGGGTGCAACAATGTGGAGATTGAATCTGATTGCTCGTTTGCGGTGGAGGCAATTCAGCAATTGGACTCTTATTTAGGACCCGACATTGCATTGGTCTCTGAATGCAAGCAGTTGGTGATGGACTTTGCCAAAATATCAT